AAGAAAATTAATAGGAAGCCTAATTCTATAGCCCAGCCAGGGAGGGCACTGCTCGGAGCAAAAGCAAGACATGGAGTCTCCTTTCCACTTAAAGTGACTGTGATTGACGTTATGTACTGAATGAACCGTTGTCACTGTTAGGTGTGCACTGATCCAGTAGTGTAACTGAGAGGAGGCAACTGGGGCAGCAGCCCCAGGCACCACCCTTGTGGGGAGGCCCAAAAATAGCCACCACCACAGTGGTGGCTGACCACAGTGCTGCAACCAACACGGCAGGAGCCGGTACTCCCCCATGCATCAATGGCTGCCCTAGGTGCAAACCTTTCCTGCTCTGATCGGCCTCATAGCAGGATCACAAGGGAGCATAGTTGCGAGTTAGGTACCTACCTGCTTAGACTGGACAGCATCTGAGCACGCAGACAATCCCAAGTTTAAGTGTGTATGGCACTCTGCAGGCCCAAAAAGTAGGCAAGCAAATCAATTTAGGTGCCTAATTGGTTTTGTGACTGCTTCACTCTATCCCTTTTAGTGTTTGCATTGTTCTGATGAAATGCACACATTCAGTCTTAGCTCTGAGTGAACATAATTACTGTATGGAAAGTCTTTAGGCTTAAAAAATTAGCATATGAAATTGTGGGGGCTGCAAGGGCCGGGGCTGAAGAGTCTAGAGAGGTGGGGTGGAAGTGGGACTGAGACTGACTGGGGAGATGCTCTTCTTCATTTCAAACTTTGCCTGCCTATTAGACAAGCTTAATCAGTGTTTTGGCTTCCTCCAGCTACTTAAAGCTTTTATGAAGCTGCTGCAGGCTGGCAGCCTGAAAAGCTTTGAGTATCTACAAAGGAAGCTTGGACAATATTTGAAGTTCTTAGAACTGTAAAATTTTAAATCCACAAGACATGATTGTTTCACAGGCCCCATAGTCATCCAGCTGTGTTCCCTGCTAGCTCCACTATCAAGAACCTCAGCCACTCCACACACTGTTTTAAATCGTGTATAGGCACTTTCTATTCCCATCCAGCCATGGTCACTTGTCCTATATTTCTACCACTCCAAGGACCAAGGGTATATTTCCTTAGAGGTTTTTTAAAAACAACTGTTCTTTAATAGCATTAGTATATTTACACATGTTTATTTAATATATTTATCATGTAGTAATATATATAATATATAATATATTTAAATGTATGAATAATATATAATGAATATATTTAAATATATGCATGTATTTGTTATATTTACACTATTTATTATACATACACCTTTACTTTTAAGTACAGCATAAGCCCAACAACTGATTTTCAATTGTGCATTTTTTCTAATGCACATAACTCAGCATATTTCATTTCACTATACAACAATATATAATTTTTCAAAAGCAAGTCTTTAGTGCAAACATAAACAATGGAAGATAACCTGGAATTACAACAGTATGGAATAAAAAGTCCTAAAGGGTAGATAAAGATAAGTTGAGAAAAATATTTCTACGGAGTAAAAAGACTTCTTATGTGAAATCAGTATGCATCTTCCAAACATTGCTAATGATCATCTGAGTTCAACTTTTTACACTTTTTTTAAGTGATGGATTAAATCAACTTATCAAGTCCCTGCACATTTCAGATCATTTGCTTTAATCTTTTACTTACAAAAGCCCAAAAATGTCTGAAGCATAAGTCAAGAAGGGTATATTTGTTCTGCTTTTTTTTTTTTGTGGCTGGCCTGTGTGTATTTACCCTCAACTTCAGTAGTGATATGCTTCAATATTGGGAATCAGAGAAACAAGAAATAACAGCATTTGTTAAAGGCACAGGGTTAAACTGAAATGATCACCACTTCCTCCTGAGGAGTACAACAATAACTTGCTTAATATGCAAGCATGAAAAATTAACCCTGTGCACACTTTAGATAGCAAAGCTGGATGTTACTTATTTACTAATTAGGCTCTTTTTTACCATGTTGGGATAGTATTTTTTAAATGGTGCTATTAGCACTGGAACCATGGAGACTAGGCTAGTATCTAATGGAATGGTTTAATTGTTAATTAAATGATCTCATTGTGCTTGGGGAAAGCAACCAATTAAAGGCCAGGACCTAATTCTCTTCAGGACACTACTGTACTTTAGGCATAAGAGAAGTACCACTGAAGCCAACATGATTACATACAGTGTCTATAAAGTTAAATATATCTGTAAATGATTGCCAGTTAAATGCCTATATTAGTCACTCAAGTGAGCGGTAATTAGTTTATGAAATACACATTCAAAATGCTGTCCCTGAAATACTTGAGCGAAATGTACAGCTGCCTGGAGAAAACAGGCAGATGTTTGCAGAGGTGCCCATTTTGCATAAACTTTTGCCATTTGGACATGCAGGGCGCATCTATCCGTTCATTAGTGTGCCTTTGATGTCGTGCATTTAGTTTAGTACTTCCTTCATAAAGTAAGTAAATATTACTAACTAAATGTGCAGTACCTAAAGTTACTATGCAGTAGCTCTGGTGTATGGTTATTTAGTGACACTAACTGAGCATTAACTTAATGACACTGCAGAGTAGGCTATTAGCACGGTTTGTGCTGTAACGTGCTACTGTGCAGTGTTATTAACCTAATGCTCAGTAAGTACCTTGTGTAGATGCACCCGCATAGTTCAGACATTGGGTTAATATTTGTTGTAAAAGATTTGGAAGGATTTGATTTTATGTTTTAACGAATTTTAGAAAACATCTCTGTTTATATCCAAGAGTGTTTATGCTAACTAACATGTTTGCACCAACAGAAAATTAAAAAAATACCACAAACATTTGTTATTTAAAAAAAAAAATGTACTAGGTATAAAAAACCAAGTCACAGTAATATCAGAAGTCATTAAATGGTAGTGGTAGCTTCAAGTTAAGTTTAAATTAGCAGGAGGCTCAATCGTGGAGATGTGCTAGATGTTGGATGTGACATCCCTTTTTTGAAAAAGAGTCTAAAACATTAAAGCTGGTTCCCTATCTTAGTTTCTCTGAGTTGCTGTCTAGAAGGTATACCCATAGAGTCAAACAAAAAAAAATGTCATAGCATAAAAAAAATTACAAAATGAATTTAAAAATCCGAAAGTAGATTTGGTGTACCAAAGCTAGATTATGATACGCCAACCTGATATCTTTCTTTGATAAGGTCACTGATTTTCTGGATAAAGAAAGTGTGGTAAATTTTGTCTTTCTAGTTTTTAGTAAAGCATTTGATAGCATGCGAGTTAAAAAAACCATTAATGAAACTAGAGAGGCTGGAGAATTATTAGAGAAATTGCAGGGTGGGTAAGGAACAAACTATCTCAAGGAGAGACAGCAATAGATGGTGTGGAAAAGCAGGATCAGACTGGAGGGAGGTTACTAACACAGTTTCTCAAGGATCACTCTTAGGACCAATCTTATTTAATATTTTCATTAGTGACCTTGGGTCAGATATTAGGAGTGTGTTGATGACAGAGTCAAGAAGTATCATCAACACAGAGGAGGATTATATATCATACAGGAAGTGCTGGTTGCCTCCGAGGACTCGAATAGGATAACATTCAGTCAGGCTTTGGGGCCTAATAACAAAAAATTAAACTACCAGCTGAAAGCTCATCAGTTAGAAATAGCTAAAATGGAGAAGATCTAGGTGTACTAATCAATCAGTCATAGGATGATCACAACCTGCCAACATGATGCAGCTGTGAAAAAGGGCATATTCTAGATATATGTAAAATAAAGTAGGTTAAATTAATCTGTTTTGTGATTCAGTTGACATCACTGGATTCATTTCAGGGATGAATTTGCCCCACTTATTACTGTACTGTTCCAACCACGGTTCCAGTCAGACAGACATTTGGCAGGTTATCATTAAAGTCATAAAGTTGAGAGACTCACTGAGAATATCCATTGAAAATTGGGGTACGGATGAAAGCAATGTGACTGTCAACCATGGCTAATGAGATGACAGTAGGTCAAAAGAAAGAAATAGAAGAGACAGCAGGGTCTATATCTTACTCTAAATCCAACTACCTTTGGTAATCTGGGCCTACAGCTGCATTTAGAAGATCAGACACCAGCATTTTACTGTCTATGACTGGCCTGATAGAAGTTTTGTGACTGTCATTCATGCCTTTGTCCCTTGCAGGCTAGAGTACTAGTGATATGGAGCTGCACTTTATATCAGTTTATAAACTAGAATGGGTACAGAAAACAAATTCCCAGCTGGTAAGTAAGGTACCTTTTAGCACGCACATAATACCAGTGCCAGCACTTATTACCTGAGAACAGAACTCAGTTATAGAATCAGGGTCATTAACGTCCTTTCTTAAAACTTTGGGATGGAAAAAAAAAGACTTCTGATTCTTACAGAGCACATTACACAACTTCCCTGTTGTCTTCCGTAGGGTTACCCAGAAAAAGTAAACAGAAATAGCCTATGGAGAGTAGAAATGGCATGATTTATATTCATTAAACTTTAATAAACACATCAGCAGTAAATGTAGTAGTTTTAGCTACTAACCTCCAAATGAATAATTCTGCTACTAGTAATGGACTCAGTCAATCCACTGGTCCATAATGTTTATTAATGTTATAATTTATGAATGTTTCTAAACATGAATAAGCTAATAACAAAAGTACCGTGATACGGAGTTATATGAGACCATCACAATTTTATAGACAGATAAACAGATCTAGAGGGGCTATGTGACTTTCCTTGTAGTTTCAGAGTGGGCGATAGCAGTTATATACATAAACAAGCACATTTTGTAAAATGATATGGATAGTAACTATCAAATGATTAGACTGATAAGAAGTTCAGCTTACACAGTAAAGGAAGTAGAGTTCATTCTTTTCTGGATTCTAATATTCGTCAGTTAAAGTGTACCATATAGTTTTGTTCTGTAATACATTTGCATTCATTAACAACAGTGGTACTTGAAGAGCAAGAATTAAATCCAGTATGATTTATGCCAGAATTAAGGTTAGTTAACTAGTGTTACTTACCCCAAAACATCTCGTTTGGCCCAGGCAGAAAAAGTTCTGAATAGATATGATGCCTTTATTAGACCAACTAAACAGTTTTAAAAAATTGCTCTTTACAAGCTTTCGGACACAAACACCCTTCTTCAGGCATAGAGAGAGTTTGACTCAGTTATTAAAGTCCAGGCAACCTTTCTGCAAGACACCTCAGTCTTCTCCTCCACAGTGCTGTATTTTTTTTTCCTTTGTAAGCACCTTCTTAAAAAATCTGCATTTTATGCAAATAAAGCCCACGTGTACAGTTTTTGTTCTTAAATTTGAACAACCAAAGCATCTTATTTTCATTCTGGTAATATGGTTATTGTGGTTTCTCAATCTTACCACATGTTACTTCTCTGCCACCACCAATTAAGCAAAGAAAATTTTAACAGGAAGAGATAAAATTGTCACGCAGATTAAATCCACAGGTTTAGTCTGCAATGACCCAGGGATTTCTTGCTGTTCTAGGAGAATTTTGTCATGTGTATCCCACTCAGTTGCATTGTTTTTAATGTTTATTCATTTTAATTCAGATTTATTTAATCTTGATTCATAAAATAGATATATTCAAAATGACTTCCTATCATTCCTAATGAGTGCAGAATTTAAATTAATTATGCCAACATATTTAAAGGGTTTTTTATATTTAGGTTAACAAATCATGCTGTCACTATAGTTTCTTTCAAATATATATTTTAACCTTTATGTTCCCCTTCCCCCACTTTCAAAATTATTGGTCTATGGTGCATATTTCCTTCTTTCTTTTCCCCTCTCATTCCTTACCCTTTTTGTGTTGTGTTCTGTCTTTTCCTCCACTCTCATCTTCTCTATCACTTAGTCCAGGGCTTTTCAACCTTTTTTAACAAGTGTACCCCTTCTGCCTCAAAGTTTCAGCTCATGTACCCCTGTATATATTTTCTTGTTTTTAAGAGGTGATGGGGGTAGATCAAGGCCCCCACAGTGAGGGAGGGAGTGGGGTTGGGGCTGGGGCAGGTGCTGTACAGCCAAGGCGGAGCACAGGATGAAGCTGTGAGAGTGGATTGTCTGGGGGGTGCAAGCGAGGGGGGGTCAGCTCCCACCACTGCATGCACCCCAGTGGAGGCCCAGGGAGCATGTGCTCCCCAGATCTGTGTGCGGGGCAGAGGCAGTTGCTGCTTCAGGCTGGACTCTGCACCCCGCTGCCCCAAGAGCCACATGATGCCATGTGCCTGCTGCCACCGGGCAGGCAGGGGACAGACAGGCGCACAGACACAGACAACCCCCACAGCAGATAAGTGTGTGTGGGGAGAATGGGCAGGGTGTGGGGAGAAGGAAAGAGCGGGGAGGGCAGATCAAGACCCCCACAATGCAGGAGGAAGTGGCCCAGGCCAGGCCATGAGACAGTAGGAGCCCAGCAGTGCATCCAGGGGCACGGGGGAAGGGGGGGGCTTCCACTGCTGCATGCACTGTGGAGGAGCATGTACCCCCCTTATCTGTGTGTAGGGTAAAGGTGGACTGGGCTCTGCTCTGCCTCTGTGCCTCACTGCCACTGCTTTGAGAGCGGCGCGATGCCATGTGCATCCTGCTGCTGGGCAGCTCACCACTGGGCTGCTACCCACCCAGCAACAGGACGTACATGGCCATCACTCTGCTCTCAAAACAAGTAGCGGCAGCGAGGCATAAAGGGTCTGAATGGGGGAGGAGAGAAATGTGTCTCTGTGCCCGCTTCCAGGACCAGGGCTGGGGTGGGGGGTGAGGGGAGTGGTGCCCCTCTGTGGGCCGCACAGCACCACCCAGCCAGCCGGATATGGGGGGAGAAGGAGGCCGCACGCAGCAGCCACTGCTGCTGCCACCCACCACCCCGTGCTCCCCCCTGCCACTCTGTGCCACCACTGCCACCACCACTGCCCAATGATGAGACTGAAGTTGGTTCCTTATTCCCAGTTCCTTATTCCCGGTTCCCTATTCCTTATTCCCAGTTCCCAGTCCCTTTTTCAAAGCTAATCTAGACCCAATAAAAACTTGTTATTAATGAATGCCACACCCTAAAGAGAGAGAATTTCATTAGCTATGCATATGTACTAATTAATATGTAATATTATATTCCACATCAAGTACAGAGCCCTAAATGAAGGTCAGATTAGGATGGGATTATGAGGTAAAATACTTCTTGGGCTACCCCTAATTTCATTGCGATGCCACAGGGGACTGTCCCAAAAAAGCCTGGCCACAGTCCTGCCTGGTTAAAACATGGTTTGGCTGTGCCAGGCTGCCAGCTAACAGCCCCCATGCCCACTATACTAAGTATAATGGTTTGAATAAGGAACTGGCTTTCAGACTGGGATTATAGCTAGAAATTATGCATAGGCCGCCCATCAGAATACCTCTGTGCCACCGGGAGACTGTCCTGGACAGCTGTGCCCAGAGACTTGCCCAGTCCAAAACACAGTTTAGCCGTGCCAGGCTGCCAACAGACACCACCCCCCAGCCACTGTGCTAAGTATCTGGAACCGAATAAGGAACTGGATTATGGGCTGGGATTATACCCAGAAATCCTTCTTGGGACACCCCAGACCACACCTCAGTACCTCCAGGGGATGCTTCTGGACATCTCTGAATAGAGACCTGCCCAGCCCAAAGTGTGGTTTGGCCGTACCAGGGTGCCAAAACACAGTACCCCAGCCACTGTGCTAAGTATATGGACACAAATAAGGAACTGGAATTTGGGCTGGGATTATACCCAGAAATCCTTTTTGGGTCACTACAGACCACATCTTTCTGGCACTGGGAGACTGTCCTGGATATCTCTGACCAGAGACTTGCCCAGCTCAAAGGGAGGTTTGGTCGTGCCAGGCTGACAACTGCCAGCACCCCAGCCGCTATGCTAAACACATGGAACTGAATAAGGAACTGGATTTTGGACTGGGATTGTACCAAGAAATCCTTCTTAAACCACCCCAGACCATGTCTCTGTGCCACTGGGGGACACTTCTCTACATCTCTGACCAGAGATTTGCCTGGCCCAAAGCGCAGTTTGGCCATACCAGGCTGCCAACAGGACCCAAGCCACTGTGCTAAGTATATGGACCCAAATAAGGAACTGGGTTATTGGGCTGGGATTATACCCAGAAATCCTTCTTAGGCCACCCCAGAACATGTCTTTGTGCCACCAGGGGACTCTGCTGGACATCCATGACTGGAGACTTGCCGGGCCCAAAACACAGTTTGGCCATGCCAGGGTGTCAACTAACAGCACTGTGCTAAATTAATGGACCTGAATAAGAAACTGGTTTTTGGGCTGGGATTATACGCAGAAATCCTTCTTGGGCCACCCCAAACCACATCTCTGTGGCACCGGGGGACTCTCCTGGATATCTCTGAGCAGAGACTTGCCTGGCCCAAAACGTGGTTTAGCCGTGCCAGGCTGCCAACAGACACCACCCCCCAGACATAGTGCTAAGTATCTGAACCCAAATAAGAAACTGGATTTTGGGCTGGGATTATATCCAGAAACCCAGAAATGGCTGGGGTGCTGTGTTTTGGCAGCCTGGTACAGCCACTTTGGGCCGGGCAGGTTTCTATTCAGAGATGTCCAGAAGCATCCCCTGGTGGCACCGAGGTGTGGTCTGGGGTGCCCCAAGAAGGATTTCTGGGTGTAATTCCAGCCGATAATCCAGATTCTTATTTGGTTCCAGATACTTAGCACAGTGGCTGGAGGGTGGTGTCTGTTGGCAGCATGGCATGGTTAGACCGTGCTTTGGGCTGGGCAAGTCTCTGGGCACAGCTATCCAGGACAGTATCCCAGTGCCACAGAGGTATTTTGATGGGTGGTCTAAGCAGAATTTCTAGCTATAATCCCAGTCTGAAAGCCAGTTCCGTATTCAAGCCATTATACTTAGTATAGTGGGCATGGGGGCTGTTAGTTGGCAGCCTGGCACAGTCAAACTGGGCTTTGAGCCAGGCGGGACTGTGGTCAGGGTTCTTTGGAATAGTCCCCAAGTGGCATCGCAATGAAATTACGGGTGGCCCAAGAAGTATTTTGCCCCATAATCCCATCCTAATCTGACCTTCATTTAGGGCTCTGTACTTGATGTGGAATGTTATTTTACATATTAATTAGTACATATGCATAGCTAATAAAATTCTCTCTCTTTAGGAGGTGGAATTCATTAATAACAAGTTTTTATTGGGTCTAGATTAGCTTTGAAAAAGGAACCGGGAACAATGAAACGGAATAAGGAATAGGGAACCAGGAATAACGAACTGGGAATAAGGAACCAACTTCAGTCTCATTGCCTATGCTGCTGCACCCTGTTTTCCCACAGCTGGTCGCACATGTAGCTCCGTGGGATGCTGACAGACCTTGCGCCTGGCCAGTCATGCACTGCCTGTCAGCAGCCAGTGGAGCTGCATATACAACTGGCCATGGGAAAGCAGCATGAGGTGGTGGCAGCAACTGCGTGCAACCTCCTCCCACCCCTCCTGTCGGGGCAGGTGGTGCCTGTGCAGCCCAGAGAGGGGTGCCACTGCCCTCGCCCCACAAGCCCTGCTCCTTGGCATGAGCATAGAAACACACTTACCCCCTTGCCATTGAGACCCTTGTGACTCTGCAGGAAGGAGATGGCCGCAGCACCTCCTCACCATTGGCTACTAGCTGAGAGCGGTGGCCCACAGCCAATCCAGACAGCGAGCTGAGGTGGGGGGCATGGAGGCGCCATGATGTACCACATGGGGCCAGAGCATCTGGTGCGCCTCTCCTCAGGGTAAGAGGCAAAGTGTGGGAATATAGCGGGGGAGATGCTGCTGCTGCAACCTGGGGCGCACTCTGTCCCCGCCCACCCGTGCATACCCCCTATGACCTAAGTACCCCTTGGGGTATGTGTACCCCCGGCTGACAATCCCTCTCTTAGTCCTACCCTAATTTTCTCAGTACCCCAGACAGTCACAGTACCTGTGTGCTGCCTCTTTATGCCCTATTATTCATTTTTTTCCTTATTCCTATCTGTGACCCATTCACACTCCAGCCCCTATATTCTCTTCTCTCTCTGTCACATA